GTAGCTTTTCCGTTTACCGTATAAGCCTACTATAAAAAAATACAGTATATAAAAAAGTAAAATATGAAAAAAAAGAGTTACAGTACTGAAACAAGGAAACTTATTAACTGTTGTATAAAAAATAAAAATAATTATATCCCTACATTGCTCTACAAATAAAATTCCAAGTTGTGTTGACAGTAATAAGAAGTGTTACTGACTTTCGCATACACCAAATATAGTACGATTAGCTCAAGGAAGTTTACTCCTACTTAACCTTTTTAACGTATACAATCAGCTGTAAATGTGACCTGTATGACTATATATACATGTATAACATGACGTACTAACAGTAGGTGTGAAAGAAGAATTCTTTTATTAACTAACTAGTGGGTCCCCCAGCTTCGTCTGAGACTCACTAAATGTAGTGTGTTCACATGTAATGTAAAACGTTTCTAGTTAAGAATTTTACATCTATTTGTGACACTTCTCAGAACGAAGACCTTCTTATTAAAAAATAATGTTTTTTTAATCGAAACAGTATATTTAGTCAAACAAAACTCTGTAAAAAGTAAATAAAAATACGATTTTGCTGGAAAGTACCAAGCACTTCTTATGCCATGAAATAATCGTTGGCCCTAAAGGGCCGTTGATTTGCAGTTTCTTCCGTATAATCTACGAAAAGGGCTATTTTTTAAAGATAAAAAGATTTAAAACTCAAAGAAACATACAATTAAAAAAAAATTTTTCTCTTATCTCAGAACTTTATTACCAGAGCAACAAAGTCCTGGATCTTAATCTCTACATTTCGAATTGCCGCAAAAAAATAAATACGTATTCTACCTATTTGAAAATCTAAGAGATTTAAGAGATTATTCTGAGAGTATAATGAAAAGCTAATCTCTGCCTGAATGGATTCTTTATTTGTCGATTTTGATGCTGCTGTTTTAGTCTTGATAAATGTTCTGCGTCAGTTTTTCGACACCTAAAATTGTGTTCATTAGATGAATTTGAAGTTTTTCTTCCAATTTGACTTCTTGTGACTTTTGGCACAGTTATAACTTTTGTGAGCCCTACAAGCTGTTTTTTGTTAACTTTGTTAAGTTCTAATGTATTTGTAGGCAAGGTAGTTTGACGTCCGATGACCTTAATAAGGACTAATGAGCTTCTGAAGTAAACTCCTTATTAACTCAAATTTCCAGCAAACGTGATTGCCTCTAGACTTCAGAGTTATATCCTCTGGCATGTTATCGTAGCACCACACTGTTTGGGAGGAAAACTATAACATTTGGAGCTCTGGAGCTAATTATAGAGCTCTTTTCCAACGTCTCCTGGCAGAACGTCGAAGACTTTCTAGAGGCACCTTTTTTTTTTTGAAGACTCAATTGTTTTGATAATCTAAGGTGCGGAGATCGGTTTCTAATGGTTCCTCATTGGAGACTGTCCCGTTGGCTCAAGTTTTTTTCCTTCATAGCTGTAAGGTTCTCTCAGCGCATATACCTTGGAGAGGGATCGGTGATTCCTGGTTAGATGCTTAGAGACGAGAGGGTAATATAGGGTCATCGGTCACCGGGATTCCTAGCTTTGCATTGTGAAACTCCGCTTGTGACATCTGTCAGAGAATTGGTTTAATAGTGGCCAGCTCTACATAGTCTTTTACTTGATGACTTGCTGCCAGAAATGATAGTAAAAATGTATTTGTTAGAAAGGTCGTTTCTACATAGGTGGCCCTCAAAAGAACGGATAAGATTGATGGTTAAGTAGGAAACGTTAATACTTAAAGTGGCCTTGAAGAAGCCACTGACCAAAGAATACCTCGTCTTCAAGTCGTTCCCTGGATAACCAACCGCTCTCGTTAGTAGATAAAGTAGGCCTAGAGAATACCTTCTCTGTGGCTAGGTCATTGGGAAGCCGTTGTGGCTGCTCGTACGTCTCAGGGCTGTTTTCCCTGGCTTGCATTTGTAGTAAAAATTTTCTGACGGCACTATGTTGGATGGTTGAACGGACACAAAACTCTGAATTCTTAGAGCAGATTGTGATCTCGCTAGACACATCTCCTAGTATTTCGCCGGAGACGTTATCGTATAGAAATTTTTTTTATTGGTGGCACTCATCCTGGTGGTTCAGTGTTGAATTAGACATAGGTTGCTTGCTTATTGGAGAAGAGTGTCATCAGTAGCTGTGATACTCAGCTGCACGGCTAACAACTGTATTCTTGATGTACTGCCGGAAGACCACTATAGAAATCTCTGAGACAATCTGGCGTCTTATAACCACACTTGTTTAATGCTATAGCAGGTAGTGTGCATTTTACGTCGGCACCATCTAGCTAATCCAACTGAACTAATATTAAAAGCTAGCGTAGTTTTGCAAAAATTTGAGCTGATTTATTGCCACAGTTTTTAATTTTTCTTTAAGATAAAAACGATATTAAAACCATCTAGAAAGTGTCAATAACGGGTATGTGAAATTTTAGCCAGATCGGTTACGTAGTTATCGTGGTTAGTGATCACAACGGTTCTCGCAACTTTGCTTTATATATTAGTAAGATGCATCGCTCACTCCGTAAGCCATAAATTAAAGTAAGTTGATAGCTACGTAATCATCAAGAAGTTGTTGTTTAACCTGGACTAAAGTCATTTTCTCATAAGGTACTTACACATTTTATTTCAAAACTACCGACTAAGGTGACTAGCAATGCATCACATACTAGGGTAGGCACGGTTTGGTCACCCGTGATGCCAGAGACAGATTTGCTACTGGTAGCGCTTGTGTCACTGACAATAATAAATAAAAATAACAAAAGTACTACAAAATATTTCTAATTCTATGTGCACAAAGCAGATCAAGCTGAAGTGTTATTTTTGAGGCAATAGAATGATTGAGTTTAGTAAAGACGATTTGATAATAACTGAAGATTTCAGAAGTAGTGGTTGAAAAAACCAAAAATTTCTAATAAAAAAGGTTCTGTAACATATAATGTTATAACGGAAGATAATTAAGTTAAGAATAGACATTTACATTATTGAAACCTTTCTTATTGAGCCTATAGCCAAGCTTTGAAATTTCGGCCGTAAAAAATAATGGCTCTCCTTAAAATGTAACTGTTAGGTTAATTCATAATAGCAGTATAAATAGTCCAGATAGAAGACTTAGAATTTTAGGGGCACAGCCCATTGCTCCTTTCAGTAAAACTACTACATGTACAGGACCAAACAATCAATCTATTATCATTGACAATTGTTTCAATGTATTGGTCGTTACCTGATGAAGATCCATGTCAGGTTAATTATTAAATTAGATAAATGACTCTTGATTAAAACGTTTGCAACGAATAAAAGTAAAAATCGAGTATTGAATCAAGAGTCATTTATTTAATTTGATAAATGATCATTGACAATTTTTGTGTTAAACATAGAATATCATAAATTTTTGCAACAGTTTCGGTAAGATAATGCAAATGCTCACCAAAATTTCTCAACAGGTTAGCGTATAACGGGGGCTCCACATTTTTATTCATAGGGATGGACTATTGTATATATTGTTAAATGGTAACATCCGTTAGACAAGTACAGTAAGCGATTCTTCTGCAGTAAACAGTAGAGAATCGCCAGACACTCCGGGTTCCTATAACTTCACTAAATAAATGTCTTTGATAGCGTGTATTTATTATTTAGTATTTCTACTAAATATACTGCAATATTATAATGATTGTTATATTTTTTTAAAAGGTATAGTGGTATTTTGTGTTTTCCTGAAAAATTGAACTACTGGCGAGGATCAAAGATTACATTTATATCAAATTAAATTATTACGTGTTATTGTAACATTTGGTTATGATGCTACTATATTATTATTGTTATTGTTATTATAATAATTAATTTGTATAATTAATGATCTCATTAAACATTTAGCATAAGAAATTTTTATTTAAATTTCAGATCAATTCAATGAACTGATGTGTCAAAGAATCTTACGTATAAATCACGTGAAATCGTATTGAAATAAAGATAATCTCTAGAAATTTTTTAATTTTTTTTGTATGATTAATAACTATAGGATAAGACTATTAAGTTTCTGAGTAAACCAACGAGTTGTTAAATTAAATGAGAAAAAAATGGTTGAGTAGGCATAAAAGTTTTTAAACATAGATATATTCATCTAGGCAAAGTAATTTCCAGTAATTCTGTATATTTGCTGCATTCACAGTTGCTGAAAAATATTTTTTTCGCATTAGTTGTAGAAAAAAGAATTAAAATTTAATAAAAACAGCAATCTACTTTTCTTACGTATGCGTTTTGACAGTGTGGTTCAGGGTGCTGAGGTCAGTGATATGGGGTGAAGGGAGTGAAGCAAGACAAGGCAAGAGCAAATAGGGAAAGATGGAAAAATTGACTTCCGTTACACATTTTTTTAAGGTCACCCATTTAAAACCGTTGGCTTACTCTGTAGTGCAGAATGCGCCTATAGCAGTAAAACTTAAAAACGGTACTTTTTTTCTTTAATTGTTAAGCTACTAAAAATTAAGCAGTTTATAGACCTAACACAAAATACAAGATTTAATATATTTTAAAGATTCAACACTTTATTACGCACTATTTTCCAGTATTAAAAAAAAAAAATGCTAACACCGCATTTTTCAATGCTAAAATTTTACGAACATTTTTTAAACATAGAAGTTTTGAAGTCATTTTTATTAATAGTTCAAATGACATAAAACTGGAGAAGTTTACCTAATGTACAAACAGTTTTTCTAAATTAAATGATATTTGTATAAGAGTCATTCCTACTTTTGTACTGAATATTAGTAAATATCAAGTTTTTTGTCAAAATATCCAATAAATATTATAATTAGTAAACCTTTTTATAATGATAACCAACTTTTGGAAAAAGTGTTGTTCATCTATTTATTTCATTTTTATAAAATGTACAAAAAAAATTTAATGTTCTTATATTTCTCACACACTACTCCATTTTTTAACAAAATTATGCATAAAATAATAGTAGACTTTTGTTGACAGAACGGAATTTAAATCCAAAAGCCGCTTGTCTAAAAAGGAGGGAAGAAGAAAAGGCTGAGGATGGGCCCAAGCTGTGCAGTCATCTACCAGTACATTTATCTCATCCACATACGCATACGCCATTACATTTGACGGACATGCCGGTAATTCATCTTATTACTTTCTTACTATAAAGAGTTGTACTCAGCATTTCCTAAATAGAATAAAATGTTCAGATAAATAAGAGACAAGATTACATGTTTCGTCAGTATAAATACTGTAAATATATTACATATGTACAGTACGTGTATACTTTCAACTTTAAACTTAAAAAAAATTTTTGTCAATTCTTTGTTCCATACTCGGTTTAAAATATTCAGCTGCAAGAAATTAAAATGAAAAAATTGTTTAATCCTTATTGTTTTTATCTCATGAAAATAATTTTAAGTATACTGTTAAGAAAAGCGTCGATAGCTGGTTTAGTCAGCTGAATGTCATATAATGATCTTTTTTTGTAATTCTTTTCGTATATATCACATATTTGTATTATATACTGCTACATTCTTAATTTTTCTGCCAAATCCATACCCCCCGTGGTATTGTTGTTGAGTGAGTCACTAGCTAATACTCGTA